GGGGGTGTGGGGGTGAGCGCTGCCGGTGTCTGGGGGGGCTGTGACTGCTGGTGTGCCGGGGGAGGCTGGAGAGCTCGAGGGGGGACTGTGGGGCACCTCTGGATCTGAATACTTCTTTACTGTGAGGGTGACAGAGCACTGGAACAGGCTGCCCAGAGAGATTGTGGAGTCTCCTTCTCTGGAGACATCCAGGACCTGCCTGGATGCGTTCCTGTGTGACCTGGTCTGGTGTTCCTGCTCTGGCAGGGGGGTTGGACTGGATGAGCTTTCGAGGTCCCTTCCAACTCCTAATATTCTGTAATTCTGTGATCTGAGGAGCACTGGGAAAAGCCCTTTCACTGGTAACCCCCGAACTGTACTACAGGCAGCAGTGCTTTCAGGTGCTGTTAGGCCTACAAACACCAGTCATCCCAGTGTGAGACTGCTTCCGGCTGCCTGGAGGCAGTGGTCTGCTCAGAAGTGTCTGAGAGCATCAGCAGGTTTGCGCTGTTGGCAGAGGGTGGAGAGAGCACTTCCAGCCATAAGCTTCTGCTGTAGTAGGGGTTAGAGGCAGAGCTGTGGGAGGCTGGTCAAAGGCCAGCTCTTCCTCAGCACCATTGAGCTTTTTTTCTTTCTGCTTTGCCTTTCCAGGCATTACCGTTCTGTCCATGTGGAAACACCTTCCTATACAGGGGGTGTCAGCGAGGAGTTTTGGGAACGCAGCCGGCAGCGGGAAAGGGAACGTCGGGAACATGGTGTCTATGCCTCCTCCAAGGAGGAGAAGGAACGAAAGAAGGAACACAGCAGGGATCGGGACCACGATCGCAAACGGGACCGTGGTAACTGCTCAGAGACCTCTGGGACCCTTAGTGCTTAGGGTTGGGGCTTGTCCCTCAGCCTGTTTGTGGCCCTTAGCTAATAGGGGTGGTGTTTCCTGAGCAGACTTGAGATGCTTGTTTGTGCCTTATGCACCTGATCTTATATTTGTTTTTTTTGCAGAGGAGCGAGACAGGAGTCGTCACAGCAGCAGATCAGAGAGGGATGGCTCCTCAGAGCGGAGTAGCAGGAGGAGCGAACCGGAGAGTCCCAGGCATCGGCCCAAAGGTAGGACTGGGACATGGTAGAGTCTTCATGTGCGACCTAACAGGAAGGGGCATGTTGGGTTGTTCGTTTGTTTCTTGCTGGTTTTGTCAGGACGAGTGTCGGTAGAAAAGCCTGTAGTAAAGCCTCTAACACTTGTGGTTAGGGCAAGCACAAATCTAGCTCGCCCTGGGTCTGGGAGCAACCTGCCAGCTGTGCGTGTGACAATCTGGCTGATCTCTGCACGATGGGTCTGTTCTGGGTCTGTGTGATACAAATGTGGTCCTTTGGCAGTTTCCTTGGAACTGCTGGGTCAGCTCCTCCTCTCAGAGGGAGGGCGGGTGGGTGCCCTCTCTCCATGCTCCTTGCTGAAAGGTCCTGGGGTCACTGTTTGAACGTTGGATGTCCAACCCCATCTCTTCTGCTAGATGCAGCCACACCGTCTCGCTCTAGCTGGGAGGAGGATGACAGCGGCTAAATTCTGGGCCTCCGCCCAC